CTTCACTAAGACAAAACATCTTATATAATCTTCCCACTGGGAAGAGAAGGAGAATAGACTTTCTTGTAACAAATGCTAGTTATGTCACTTGATGTACTTCTGGAAGGCACTCAAGTATTTCAGTGGCACAGACAATAGAAGAGTAAAAGAGAAGAAGAGAGAAGTGAACAGAAATAGCCTTGGTTGGCTTTGTCTGGGAGAGCTGGTCAAAAATTAGAATTTTCATTCCAGCAAAAATTTCAGAATTCTTGACAACTTCTCACGTGCTTTTTTTTTTTTAAAAAAAAAAATAAATAGCAGTACAGTCTTTGAAAAGAAATTCCAGCAGATAAAATTTCTCTGAAACAATCAATACTATATCTGAGAGCCTAAATTTCAATCCTCTCAATCCTGCTACAGCTCCAGTAAATCTAGGAATTTTTACGGACTGGTATCTGGTTTGCCTGACTCTTAGATTCCTCTAATGTTTTGAATTGACCCTGCTACCCTGTAATATTAAAAATTTTTACAAATTTCAGTGAGTTATTTCAGATCACAAAAGTAAAATGGATAAGAGTTATTTCCATTTTACAGTTAAAAGAAAACAGAAATTAACAAATTGAGATCAGCAAAGCTGAGTGCAAAGGAATCTCTAGCTGCGCCCCCAAAACTCCCAAAGCAGATACCATGTCTGCACATTTTATTCCTCACAGTAAGAAACCTCTCAACTGCAAATACTACAGCAAACTATGGCATGTGATCAGCCTTCCTCCTCTTAAAGACTCCCATAATTTTTTAAAAAATAAATTAATTAACATACAAAGTTCTACTATTCCAGTGTGGTAGAACTGTTTAGACTTCACAGGTTTTTCCCCAGCCTGAAATTTCTGGGGGACTTGGACTGTAGTGAATCGAAGCCAATTTAGATCTGCTGAAGATTTATCCACGTAGTGGAAAGGGGCCAACAGAACTATGCAAATCAATTAGTCTAACTTGTCTTGAGGTATTTCTCAGACCTCCATGGGGTTTCATAGACTTTATCTTTAAATGCTGATTATACTGTCATTTAAGGAAGCAATATGCTGCCTTGACAAGACCAGTTGCTTTAACTATCTGACATTTTCCCTGCAGACATTCTCTTGTCTCTGTGTGCAGGTTTCTGTGTAGGTGATGGCTGTATAGAAGACAGGCCTGATGTTCCAATATCTTGTGAACTCAGTGATCCACAAGTAATGTACTTAATCAAGTGTAAAGCAAGAGGTGATTAAGTTTTGCAGTACTGTACAATGCCTGACTGCTCAGAAATGCATCTTTTGATGTGGTGCGGAGAACTGGACCAGTTCTGTCTGCTTTACCAAAAAAATGATGTAGTAATCCAAAAAGAGAACCTCAGAAATCTCTGCAAGTGTTTAACTTTGATCTGAAGCTTTAAAAAGATGATATTTATCTGTTTGCTTGTTTAATTTGCTTGAATTTTAAGCTCACAAAGGGTCAACTTGACCTCTTGTGGAAGCAATTCTTTGCTTTTTTTCCAGATGAGGTTGAGCAGGGGCAGCAAGTTTCCAATCATTACTAGTTGTTCTAAGCATCCAACCAAAGAAAAGAAAAAAAAAAGAGAGAGAGAAAGCAAAAAAGAAAACCATCAACTCACCTTTCTATTGTGGTTTATATGAATTATTAAGAACTGAGATTCAGTGGAGCCTCAATTCTTAAGCATAGAATCAATACTATATTTTATATAACAAGGGCAGTAAACCCAGTTTGTTCTACTTCCATCAGAGTGAAGCCTTGTCAAGTCTCTCAGGCAACTCAATTCACTGGGGCCAAAGTCTAACAGTATTGACATGAAAAGCGGATTGAGGGGGGATGGAGGTGAAAACTGGCCGAATGGTGGGGCCTGGAGGGCAGAGATCAGTCACATAAAGTCTAGTTGGAGGCCAGTAACCAGCGCTGTACCCCAGGGGTCAAGACTGGAGTCCAGTCCTTTTTAACATCTTTGTTAATTATCTGGATGATGAGGCAGAGTTTACCCTCAGCAAGTTTGTAGGTGACACAAAACTGGGAGGAAAAGCTGATACGCCAGAGGGTTGTGCTGCCGTCCAGAGGGACCACAACAGGCTGGAGAAATGGGCTGACAGGAACCTCATGAAGCTCAACAAGAAGCCTGAAATCCTGCACATGGGGAAGAACAACCTCCTGCACAATTTACATGCTGGGGCCCACCTAGCTGGTAGAAAAGGACCTGGGAGTCCTGCTGGGCACCCGATTGAACGTGAACCAACAACGTGTCCTTGTCGCAAAGAGCGCTCATGGTGTCCTGGGCTGCACTAGGCAAAGTATTGCCAGCAGCTCTAGGAGGTGATCCTCCCCTTTATTCAGCACTGGTGAGGCCTCACCTGGAGCGCTGTGCCCAATTCCGGGCTTCTTAGTACGGGAGATACACGGATGTAGTGGGGAGAGGGCAGCAAAGGAGCACAGCGATGATTCAGGTACGGGAGCATGTCTCCTGGGAGAAAAGGCTGAGAGAGCTGGGACCATTTAGCATAAAGAAAAGCCTTTGGGGGATGTTACTAATGTATATAAATACCCAAAGGGAGGATGCAAAGAGAACAGAGCCAGGCTCTTTTCAGGGGTACCCAGTGATGGGACCAGCAGCAATGAGCACAAACTGAAACAGGAGGCTCTCTCTGAACATCACGAAACTATGAGAATGACTGAGCGTGGGTACAAGTTGCCCAGAGTTGTGGAGTCTGCCCCCTTGGAGACACTCAAAAGTCATCTGGACATGGTCCTGGGCAACTGTCTCTAGGTAGCCCTGCTTGTGCCATGGGGTTGGACAAGACAACCTTGAGACGTCCCTTCCAACGGCAACCACTCTGTGATACTGTGACTCGACGAAAAGACCTGCTCACCTTCAGTGGGGTCGAGATGTGAGCTTCTGTCCAGGAGCCCATGGAATTCAACTCACTTTCTTGTGCTGTAAGAACTATTTGCAGCCACTACTAAAGGACAGTTTTTTACTATGTCCTGGACACAAAAAAGAGATAATAGGTCTGAGTTTAGTGAGAAGTCATTTCTGCAATTATTGCCTCCCGAGTGAGGGTGACAAACAAGAGCCAGTCACTACGCCAAAAGGCATTAAGTTGGACTCGATGATCCGTACGGGTCCATTCCAACTCAAGATATTCCACGATTCTGTGATGGGACACAGGCCTGCAGGGAACTGACATCAGCAATTTCACTTCCAGAAGAAAATAATCAAGCATGTCAGTCTGTATTCAAAAGGTAAAAGGCTCCTTGTCACATTACCTGTACCTGAACTACCTGATCGCACTTTCAAACTCCATTCCCAAACATAAAAAACAAATACCAATTTTGTCACACATAACACAAGTCACCCCAAAAGTGCTGGCTGCAAACATTCTGCGTTGCACTGAGCACTGATAATAACCTGGGCACATGCTGTATGCCACCAGAGAAGCTTCGTACGGTCACCAAGAGGGGAAGGACTTGAGAACGTCGACAGAGAAACTAAGAAGTGCAGTGGACAGTATTTTATTTTTGTCCTGCTTGGTAAAGGGCAGAAAGAAGGTAATAAATATTGTTTGCTATCTGAGGTTCTAAGTTGTTCTTTGGAAATGGAACCTGAAGTTGACTGAATTGGCTTATATATTATATTTAGGAATACCCAGAGCTTGACGGCAGAAACACTATACATCCTACAGTGTTTGCAGCTCTGAAGTGGAGAAGACATAACCTGAGAAACTGAGTAACGACCAAATTTCTAAATAATGGTCTAAAGCCGTTTGCTGGGGTAATTACATGTCACTTAGGTGAAAAGCAATTTCAGTCTGCATATGTTGGAAGTTTACCTCAATGTTTCACACTGGAAAAGGAAAAATGAAATGGAAAGATTCACAGGTTAGAATCTGAACTGTGAATTAAAAGTAAAAATGATAACAGAGATTCAGATATTTTAAAGCCAAAAGGGACCTTTACTATTCTGCAGCCTGATCATCACCATAAAATGGATCACAGAATTCTGTTCTGAAAGCCCTGCAAGAAAAATGAGCCAGGGTTTATATAGCTAAAGTCATCTCATCTTAAATTAAAGACCTTACATGCTAGACACATCACAGAAGCTCTACTCTGCTCTGTAGAGCATTTTTGTTATCCAGTTACTGTTTTGTAAATACATACACTGTAATGTAAATATAAGCTGGGGTCCAGCATTCATGAGCATTTAAGCAGTTACTTATCATCTACATGCTCCTCAAAACACTTTTGTGTCCTTTCAGATCTTCTGCCAAATTCTCGAACTTGTACCACATATTCCAGAAAAATTTCTACAAGATGCCTGCTTTGCAAAATGAAATTCCAGGAACTACTGGAAGTATTCAGATTATTCAAAGAAAGAAAGAGCTGACGCAAAAGATTTAGAAACTATGTCTCATTTTCTATTCCAAATTAATTCAATAGCAAAAGTTGCTGTATAATTACCTTTACTGTTGAATGCGATTCTTAGAACTGATTCAAATTCCATTTTCAAATTCAACTTGTTACTGATCTCACAATTTAGACTGGTGTCTGGTGAGATTTGGGCCCTAACAGAATGTGTCCTGTCTACAAGAAGGCTTAATGAGCATTAGGATCTATAGACATTTAACAGGAGGGATCATATTCCTCTTGCATATACTGTTATTTTGTTGGCAGAAGCATCTAAAAATTATGTTACATTTTTGCTGACGCTTTCCTCTTTAGCTGCCTTAGTAGACTTTGCAATATCCTACCTGATAAAATTTACTTTGGCCAATATTAATCAGTCAGCTTGATGTCCTAACATTTACTTTTCTCTTTTGTTGTTTGCAATGACTCTTGGAATTGGGACAAATATCAGACATGCGCTCATGTGAAGTCTGTGGTATGTACTATATAAATGAGACCCCAGTTCTAGCTACCCAGCTACCACCTGAAGAGTATTCTTAGATCTTTATTTCTGAGAGAGATTTTCCTCGGGTGCCATGAAGGCACTAGTAGCTTTAATATTGCTTGTTCAGCTTCCAGTTCACAAAGCTGTTCCAGCAGCAGCCCCGGCTCCCTTGGGCTGTGATGACCCAGAATCTGAAGCAGCAGCTGAAGTAGCTGTGAGTTATATTAATGCCCACAGTCATCACGGATACAAGTTTGCCTTAAACAGCATCAAGAACATCCGCGTGCTACCGCAGGTAAGTGAGGACTCGCAGGCAGAGCGCTGTGCTAACCTGGGGATGCTCGGGAATGAGCGACAGGCCCTGCCAAGGGCTGTATCATCACATGGGGTGAACCAGGACGGCTCTGTTGATTTAAATGGGGCAGTGGCAGCAGTTGAGAATCCAGGTCACTAGAATGTATCTCTCAAAGAGCAGAGGAGAGCAGGAAAGAGAAATGGCCAGGGGTTTTTGTACAGTGCTAGGATGGGCGCAGTTTACCAATGGCCATGCTTGCTAGGGCAGAGCATTCAGCACTGATTCATCAGCCCAGTAGCTAATCTGGAGACCAACTGTAAGGATAATCTTTGTGATGCAGGTAATTATTTGTTGGCTAAATGCATATCTATCAGAACTCCATGCTACTAGTGGTTTTGTAGTAGGCATTAATTTTACCTAATATCCCACTGAGCTGAACAGGAAGCTGAATGGAAACAACTGCGACTTGTAGTCTCGTTTTCACTAATGTCTGCTGCCATCATTGTAGGAACCTAGAAAGGTAGGAATACAATGTACGCGCCCATTCAGAACCTCCAATTGTCTCAAAACATTGAAAACAGCCTCAGATATTAACAAGAATGAAAATCCACGCCTGTTTTCTACTTATTATGAGAAAGAGGATACCAAGGTAATTAACAAGAGACTAAACCAGACCTTAGTGAGATTAGAAGCGTGCCACAGTTACCCACACAAAGACACTGTTTGCTCTTATTTAATGCTTTTGCACTAAAATAACTTCCTTGGTTTCCATGGAATCACTCATGAGTCAATCTCAGAGTGAGGGAACCTCACCTCTGCCCTTCCACTCACATGTCTTTTATGTCACAGCTGCAAAAGTTTAGGAACAACTACAAAAGATCCTTCAGCCCATAAACAATGTGACTATTGGGGCTGGAACTTAGCTGGTACAATTCGGTGTAATTCCAATGGACTAAATGGCACAGGCCAATGTGCACCACTGTTTATTTGGTATTTAGTTACAGAAATGCAAAGTTTTTTCACCAACAAAGCCAGATGTTGATTTTTAAAAACTACTCAACAAAATAAAATCAAGTTAACTTCTGAGAACTGACCTACAACATACAGGCTGGACTTTCCAAAATTTATGGGTCAGTCCCTTAGCTGGAAAAAATCAGTGTGACTATCTTGACCTACTGCAGCTAAAAAAACTGGATTCTATTTTTATGAAGTTAAAGTACAGTAAGGATCTGTTCAGTTACTCTAGTGTATACCTGGGGCTATCCAGTGACAGTCAACAGAGACCACAGCACTGCCCTAGAGAAGAAATCTGGTGATATTTTGTGAAGTAATTACTACAATTCATGTTTGTTTGGTGCTGTTGTTGTTTTTTTCTTTCAGGGGCTGAATAATTACATAGTATTTCTTGAACTTGACTTATTAGAGACTAGGTGCCACATTCTCAGCCCTACGCCTCTTGCAAATTGCACAGTAAGGAGCTTCACAGACCATGTAAGTATCCAAAACACTCCTAAGGAGCATGTTGAGTATGTTGATGCTAGAAGCCAGGCTACCATCAGATTCCCAATCAAGTAATATATCGTTGTAACAGCCTATAACCACCCAATCATTTGTAACTTCCTTGTTGATTTAGTTGCCTGTGATGAAGGATTTCACTCCTGGATCTCCTTCATGTCCTCTTACATAAAGAGGACGGGTCACTGTCGGCACGACATCCCGCACGCGGCTCACGAATGCCATCAGGCCTTCTTTAGGGGCGCTGGATCCAGCCCTCCACGGTCAGCCCAGATGTCACTGCCTCGCTGCAAACTGTTGACAGGGCAGGTTGTGAATCTGTGCAAACATGACCTTCCCTTGGCTACACAGGGAGTGTTAACTAGTGAAATTCCATCCAGTCTAGCCACCTAGTCCTACTCAAGACTGCAGAAGAGCTATTCCCTTCAGACATGGCTCTGCCTTCAAAGTAATGCTCAGCTAGAATTTGCTGGCCTCAAATATTCTGTTCTTATGCAAGTGTGATCCAACTGTGAAAAGCTTTCCCTGACCAAAGCAGTGGAATTGTTGTCTGAGTACAGGCAGCTCTGGTTCCAAGCAGAAAGCAGAGTGAACGACTGACAATTTAAGCCTGCTGTTTCTAGGATGGGGCCCAATTCACAGAGCTCATGACTAAATTGGAATCATGATCCACCCCTGTATTCATCAAAGCTCAGATCCCATTTTCCATCTTGAGGGAGGTAACTCTGACTGTTCCTTCTTTCTAGTGATTCCAGCTTTGCCTCTGACACTCCTACCCTGCTAGATCCCCTTGCGTGTGAGCCAGCTCACACCAGGCAGCGGCTCTGCTGTTACCATGGCCACTGACCAGGCGAGATTAGCGAGAATGTTATCAAACAGCTCTGCAGAAGGTCTTAATTCATAAGTATTCATAGTCTCTGCTCTTTATGAGAAAGGAAACTGAACCAAATGTCCCTACCCTGGCTATCCTGGCACTTGTGATACTTTTGAGATCCAGATTTGGATCCAAATTTTGCAGCTCTGGTTTTCCTTTCACAAAATCACAGACACCAGGACAGGCCTAGCAGGGCCTTTGCAATCAGACTGATTTTTCCAGGAGCACTCAGCCGGGATGTGTTCTTATGAATTTAGTAATAGCTGCCCTTTTCAGAAATTCCTATTTATCTGAACGATGTAACCCTTTGATTTTTTGTCTCTCTCTAGGCAGTTGAGGGTGACTGTGATGTCAAACTGCAGAAGGTGGATGGAAAGTTTTCCGTACTTGCTAGTAAATGCCACTCACATCCAGGTAAAAACTTTGTTCTTTACGTTTAAATCTAGAGGCTGGAGTATTATGACAGAAATGGTTACAGTTCAAAAGCTTTTCTGATTCTAAAATGCTGTGCAGAAATACGGCATATAAGGTGACAGTTAATGGGTTTTCTAAGCCCAGCTGTTTCAAAAGTAATTTTTTCCCATTTTCTGATGTCATTCACCTGGCCCTCTCTCTTTGCTCCTCTTTACTATGACGATTAAGATACTATAAGACTACCTGAGAAGCATGTCCCAGAGTTGACCTACAGATTGCTGGTACTGAGGCTTTTCACTCAAGAGCTTAGCCTCAAGAACCCGATTCCTTGTTAGTCTGAATTTACTAAAGCTTCCTGATCTTCAGAACCCCTTTGCCAGATGCAGCATATTTTCTAAACCCAGCATTTTCAATATTGCCATGTGAAAGTGGAATTTCCATTCTGCTTGCTCTGTATGAGATGTCTTCAGTATGACTTTCAAAACTTGTGAGTGAATGAAACATGCTCATTCAAACGCAATTCCAATAAATTAAAATATCTTCATTTTCCCATTATTCCTTGTGAACTGAGACATCTTTTCAGTAGTGTCACAGACATTTCGCCAGAAAGAGAACTCATTAAAATCTGAGTAAGAACATTCAAAATGTGCTATTGAAATCCACAGCACTTTTGCTCGAGAAAGACATGAATGGCAGAAGTTGTGCAAAACACTGCCATCTATAGTCTGTACTGCAAAAATCCCTTCCACTGTAATTTGGGACAGATGATGAAACAGTGCTTTGTGTGACTGGTCTATGATGCCTTTCAAAACAAGCTGCAATTTGGTGGAAACCTAATCTGTTTGGCTCCTCCTGCAGACTCACACGAAGATGTTCTCCAAGTCTGCCCTGACTGTCCGCTCCTGGCAAGTTTGAATAACACCGAGGTATCAACACTTGTCACATCCGCACTCAATGACCACAACAGCAAAACTCCTAACGCTTACCTCAGGCTCTAAGAGCCAAAATACAGGTAATTGCTAGAACTATGTCTAGCCTTCCATGTAAACAGAACATTTCTGTGGTGACTGTGCAGTGCTAACTAGTTGCATTTACAGATTTAGCTTGCTCCAATTTGCCCTACTGAATTGCTCTTGATTTCCCAAGCATTTTGTGTCATTTTAGCCACAGGATTCCCTTTCCCTTCAGAGGGAGATGCAAAGCTGGAAGCCGCAGCATTTACCTTTTATCTTTCCTCAGCAACTCTGCAGTTTCACAGTTCAAAGTCACTTAAACAATTTTCCTGTTTTATCAGTATTACCCGGTGCATATTGTCTTTGCTGAGTTTGCTGTGGCTGCCACAAACTGCTCAGCACAAGAAGCTAAAGCTAATGCGGAGGCCTGTCACCTGCTACCTGACGATGAGGCTGTAAGTATGCCAGCACCCAGTCCTGAGCTTGCCAGCTGACAGGTAGGAAAGCAGCACGCTGGGACCTCCCTGTGCACCCACAGGAATAGACCTTCATGAGGATTGAAGTGCAAGAGTTGCACACCACCATGATATGCTTCTCAGTATAAAATTCCTAAAGCTTTGTCTCCTCTCCTCTCCTCTCCTCTCCTCTCCTCTCCTCTCCTCTCCTCTCCTCTCCATGTTATCTGGACTGAATCCTGATGTAGTTGAATATATTCCAAAAATGCCTGAGGACCAAAGTGTCCTTAACACAAAATGGTTTTAATCAACCAAATATATATTACTGTTTACTCTTTTTAACATGAGCATCTGAGAAAATCAGGCTTTTTTTACTCCACAGTACACAAACACATAATAAAAGGGCAGAGTGTTTCACCTTCCTGCAATTTAAGTGCTGTCAGCATGCTTTGTTCTGATATATAGGCTCCTGAGAATTGTACTGTATACTTTATCATGCTAAAATTCTTCTTTTGTTACTGATGAAATGGAGTCCTAGGCAATTTGAGTGGGTGAGAACCTTTTACCTAGATTCTTATGTATTCTTTCCCTCCCTCATACCAAGACATACAAAGGATCTTACTCTAGAAGAATACAGGACTCACATTTACTTGCCGGTTACGCATTTAAACAGCTTGGCTTTTGAGCCCAACAGACTGAAAAGCCAGAACTTCACTGCTCAGATAAAATCTGAGAAGATGTAGCTATTTCTAAATATACTGAAATTAATAACTAGTCTCCTCTATTTCCTAACTATTTTCTCTTGACTACGTTCTGCTTCGCCAGAATTTCGGTTTCTGCACAGCAACAATGGTAAAAGAGCCCTCACAGGACTTGGAAGTGGACTGCCAGCTCTACGGACATCAGGTAACAACTCAAGACATTCCCTTCCTTTCCAGAGGATTCTACCCTATTACTACTGTTAGAAGCAATCAGTCTGAGTTTTCCTCCTTCACGGTAGCCTGCATTAGCTATTTGTGATAACCTTAGTTTTACTTTGTATCCTAAAAACCAAAGTAAGGTTGCTCCTGATTATTCTGTGGACTTCTGTGCAAGGAATTAGGTCACCTCTGCCATCTGTGCCTGACACAGTTTGTCCTCCTAAGCAGCTGAGAGCTTCACCCCTCTGGCAGGGCAAAGGGAACCAAACTCTGCTCAGCTAGGGGCACGGGGCAGAGAGATGTAAAACACAAATGAGCCGTTGTGGCAGATGAAATCAGCTGGGGATTTTTTGCTAGGAGTCCTTAGATGTGACTCAATTCAGGGAGCCTGACCTGCTCTGCTATAGCAAAAGGAGGGGAACATGCATTCACTGGACCTGAGTGCTCTGCAGGTATTCCAGCCTTCATTTGGTTCAAGAAGGGTGAGGTGGTAGCTGAACACTTCCCACAGACCAGAGCTCGTGGTAACACAATAGTAATTAGTTGTCGAGGAGGTATATGAAAGAAAGAGTAAGACAGCTGGTCTTGAATGTTTTGCCAGCTGCACAGGTGGCCCTGAACATCCATATAGCACAGAATTTGCTGCTAATGATCCACTGGATATTAAATGTGTTTCTGGGCTCTTGTGTATGTGTTCAAATGTAAATCAAACTTCCGTGATGGTTAGAAACATTTTGTACCCGGGCTGGAGGTCTATATCTATTTAGGAGCAGGGTACCTTACTAGGTGATATCAATGCCCTGTATGTTATACGCCCCAAGTCACTGAACACAAACATAAATTGTTTTTCTTCTCCAGCCTGGAGTTACCTACTCTCAACCAGGTCAAGATACATCAGCAGGACTGGCGCCCAGTGTCGTACAAGGATTCACAAACCATAATCTCAAGTTTTCCCACAATAACGCCGTTGCATCTGAATCCAGCTCTTCAGAATTTCCTACTGCTGTGCTCTCAGCAAAACCCGTAGCAAAGAGAGCAGTTGCAGAAGTTGCTCAGTATGACAAAGTACCTCGCCCAGTTGGCTTTGTGCCTCCTCCTCCTCCGTGCCCTGGGAGGATTCGCTATTTCAAGATATAAGCAGTGTGACAGAAACAGCAACACAGCTAACTGAAGGATCCGTGTGCAGCGGCAGCATCGACACACAGACCTCAACATCAAGCGCCAATAGGTGAGAACGCTCCGACTCTGAGCCCAAATGAGTTTTACCCTGCAGAGGGCAGAGCCGTGGCCAAGACCTTGCAAAGGCCTGCTTCAAAATGCAGCCGATTACAACATGTAGCAGCTGTTTTCTCTGCACACAAGAATGCTCTCGCTAAAATATAGAAAATATTGTTTCAATGAAACTGTTGTAAGAGCTATACAACAGTTGTAGCTTTGTGATAGGAACACCAGCCAAAGGGTTACTTCACAATAAAATATTCGACAGAAATGCTTTGGTACCTTCTATCTGTATATATTTTCATTTAGTTGTCAAGTATCTCCTTCACAGCATTATGAGTCATATTCCGGGCTTGCTTTCAAAAACAGTCAGCTCCTGCGCTTCTCATCAGCTTCATGGGGATGTGTGGGTGCTGTGCACTGCAGAAAATCAGGTCAGTCCTTTCTTTTGATCACACACCAGTAACACTAAAGAACTGGCAGGGAAAGAACGTATTTTTCCATTCCACCTGTAGTGTTTCCTAGCATGTACCTACTTTTAATACCCACCAGAAGTACCTCAATACTTTTGGACGTGGCACAAGAGCTGTCTGTGCCATATCTGTGAAAAGAACAAAGAAACAGGGCACATTCATTGCTGCGCAGGCTGGAAGCATTGATCCTTCCAGCCAGACACATGTGTATTCTGTGTCTTCCAGCCGCTACACAGGTGTAGTATGATCACGGGGTACCGTATGGCCTGTGTGCAGAGGAAGGAAAACCAATTTAAGGGAATAAAAATGTACTGCAGACACGTGTCTCATGTAATAGGATCCAGACAGTGATGGCAATTTACCATTGTCCCAGCAGTCCTCGAATTTCTGACACATGTTAGAGGCAAAATCTATTCTAGGTAGAGAAATAATAAAAGGACAGGGCCAGAAGGATCTTCACTGCCAGCCAGACTGGAATTCTGCAGGCCCCGGGGAGCCGTCTCAAAGACAGTCATGAATCTTTAACCAGGAACAGCACTTGTTACAAGATAATTATCATGCAGGCAGCAAAAGCTGCGGAACACATGTCATTTCTGAACTGCTTCAGATAACCTACCCTGTTCTCCTAGTTACAACCTTCCAGTATTCATTCAGTAAGCAACACAACTAACATTTGCTCTTTGTAACAGTGCGACAGGTTGCTCCACAGAAAGGTTCTGCTCTGCTGCGTCAGTGGGGAAAGGAGAAGCCGCAGGCGCTCGCACCAGTGCTTCCACTGGCTGTGCGGAGGGGAAAGAAAAAGGGAAAGCAGCCCAGGCTCTGTAAGCCCTCCTCTAACGTGAGGGCAACAACCTGCCAAAAAGCTCTCCCCATGAGGGCAGCAGCTCTCACGCTTCAAGAATATACTGAGTTCTTGCAGGAATTGTGTGGCAGGCAATTGCACCAGCTCCTGCTAGGCAATTGCCCAGTGATCTTTTGCTTCTCTGTAAAGCAGTGACCCCAGCACACCCTGTGTGCAGGCATTTCTTCAAAAAGTGCTAGTACTAAGTTGTAGATATTTATTGAAGTGGTAATGTAGGTGGTCCTCCCATCCCACTGCAGGACACACAGTACAGGATTTAATGAAATGGCTACTATTGTGATCTGCATTCCTGTAACATCAGATATGTGAAACTGAGCTTTTAACTTGCCTGGAGCAGTTTCCTTAGCTTTTGCATTTTTAAAACTAGGAATTGCTTTAACTAAACCATACAAATTGTCTTGTATATAATGAAGTGGGCACTAAGAGACAGAAAAGACAATGTTTTCCAAGCTCAAAACATTCTCTGGTGGTAGAAACAGCATGTTTATAAAAGGCATCCCTGCCGATGGGGATCTCTCAACTCCAGTAATGCTGCATTTTCTTGTTGCCTTTTCCACACACACAAAGCAAGGATATGTAGCAGAACATCTGCAGCCTCCATACTTCACAGATGTTCTTCTACACCTGGCATAACTATTCCATTGTTTCCTGAAACAGGGAGAAAAAAAGAAAAAAAAAAAAAAGCAGAATCGCTCTCTGCATTCCAGTTAGTAGCTGCACCTCATCTTCTTTCTGCTTAACACTTTTCCTCTTAAGGACAATTTTGCCCTCTTAAGGATACATTTTCCATGACTGCTTTAAAGCAGTTGTTTTGTCTCTCCCCAGTACAGCCACATACTCATGCACCTGGACCTTAGTAAAAAATGCAATATTTAGTAATACGGTCTCTGGGCAATGAGTGCTACCAAGTGGCAAACCTAAAATACAAACGCCTCCTTCCTTGAAACAGAGCATGAATAGCTTCATCAGGTCTGCACTGCTGGCTCACAATGTTTCTCCACTTTTCCAAACCCTGTTTTGCTAAAGCATATGTACACATGGGCTGCTTTGGCTGGACAGGCTCACATATCCCAGCTGTGTCCATGTTTTGAGGTCAGCTACTTCACCACTGAAATTTCTTCCTTTCCAGTGCGAGGAAGAGCACAAAGACGGAGTCAGGGATATAACAATTCCCTATTATAAGATGCACCGACACGGCCAGTACTAAGTGGCACCCATCTCCATAGAAATGCCATGTACTGTAAGGATAAAGAAAACGCGTTATTATCCTTTAGCCACAGGGGAAGCGCCCCCAGGCACAAGGAACAACGGGAGCGAGTCCACATTGCTGCTTCTGCTCTTCCTGTACTATGGCTACAGCAGCCTTTCTCAGCATTCCGCCCCTGTATTCCTTCCCTCCAGGATACAGCCTGTGCATTAGCCCTCACCCTGCGTTTGCAAAAGCAACTGGCAACACATGAGGTGCCTCCACCTAGCAGCCACGAGCCCCTTCCGTCCTGCGATCGGGGTTTTCCACCAACCACAGTCTTCTCAGAGGAGTTTCAGCCCCGATGCTCTTGCAGGTCTTCCTGGCTGTATGGCTAATCCCACCCAGCTTCCTGCAGACTTTCCCCAGGATGGGTTCTGCTGTCTTCCAGAGGAGCATCCTCTAAGCACTGCTGGGCTAAAAAGCTAAGATTCTTTATACCACCAGTAAAAAACCATGACAATACATAAATTTTAATTCCTCTCAACTTAACAGTAGTGTTAAATAGAGCCAGTTATGTCCTTCACTTGCACTTTTCCTTCCTCACTCAGTAAAGGGGTAACCCTCAAACCTAAAGGTACTTAGAGTCACTCAGCAGACAGCTGTGATCACACAGACTCCCATGACAGAAAATGAGGGCTGGGGACATGGTTACCCAGCTTCTGGTGTCCTGCAGGGTGAAATACTGCAGAATTGCTCCTCAGGAGAAAACTGATGACTTTCACTGGCACCCTCCCCAAGTAATATTGGTCATCACTTCTCCAAATCTTCAAGCCAACAGC